ATTATGTCCATGAACCACGTCCGGATATAAAAACAAACTCGTACGAGAAATTTACAGGTCTGCGTTCAAGATGCCCTTAACCCTTGGTTGGTCTCATTTTGATAAGCCTTCGGATACAGTGTTGAGGCATGCATGCATGCATGCACATGGACGCATACGTTCGTATGAAGATGGCATTTGTGTGGTGCCGTGAAGTGCAGGCAGATATACGCATCCTGGTATGGTGGTTCTCAAAAGAAAAGGGAAAAAAACTCATCGGCTGAGGCGTTTAACTTGGTACTTTGACCGGTCCGTAACCGATCGAGGCTAGAGAGGTCTGACTTTGACCGCTTGGATGGACACCTATCGACGCGGCTAAGCAAACGGATGGCGTATCCAGTGACACCCGAGAACAAGAACGCAGCTTGTGCATTGATGTAATTAATCGAAATGGTCGTCTATTTGATAATCGTCTTTTTTCAGAGTAACACCTCCCTTAGATATCTCGCATGTCCAACACGCACTCCCGAAACGCCCGTAAACATTCGGAGACGCTACACGGTACCATATAGATCCACGGAAGCGCCTGCTTCTGCGAAATTTCGTGATTCGGGCGCCGCAAATTAGGGGAGCTTTACAGGCATCCAAACGGACACCACGACCGTGACCTCTAATCCCGAAACGCTTTTCGCGTGAAGCGGTAGCTGCATATTCACGTCGGTCAGGCCACTCCAGAGTGGACCGACTCCACAGGGCCTGCGACTAGACGAGTGGGCGACACCGTTTCAATACCGACACGGCGACCAAGAAGCCTACTTTCGTCGGTGCGCCGCATTGAAGCCGGTTGCCCGTCTGTTCGCTTGGCCGCGCCTATTTGAGCACTTGGCCGCGCCTATTTGAGCACGGCTCCGGCGCCGTCCGCACCACACCGCACCACTCCTCTCTGCTCACTCTCTCATCGCCTCTTCGTCTCCACTCACTGCACATCCTGACATCTCCGCTGCTCTCTGTCTTCACTCACCAGACATCTTCATCTCTCCGCTCACCGTACGATGCCAAAGTCATGGTTCTCCGGCCAGTAGGCGAACGGATTCGGTGTCCGGTTTGAGGTTTTGGAGATGCCCTTGGTACTTTTGTTGAGGCATCTTATTCCCGGGGCAAGGATAGAGGTTGGAGTTCCGGTACATCGAATATCTCCAAGATTTGGGCATAAGCCCGGATGATTCCCGCGTGTAAGTTATACACGCGCACCTTGCCCTCGTGACCTTATACCAACCAGTAGAAGATCTTTGTGAGATCTTAAACTAATCCATGGGTAACTGGTCAGAGGAAGGGAATCCACGGAACAAGAATAAGGTGCAGAATAATGACAAGATTACGGCTATACAGGTGTGGATGTAATCTAAGAATTGCTTGCGCTTGGCATCGATCTATCTACTCTAGTTGACAAATTCTCTAGCTAGATGTCCAGATCTCTTCGCTCTTGGATTGATCTGTTGTCATCCTCAGACTGCGTATGGTCGTTGGGAAGCAATGACGCGATCAGCCTTTTCCCCCGACCGACCGATCGCCTCATGGCGATCTACACGAATATAACTCGTGGACTACGCTTCTCCGGCTCGAGTTAGCCAACCAGCCACGCGAACAACGATGCATTTAAAGAACGGCGTCGATGGAGCTATGCAGATATGTACTCCACTACGGGAGCAGGAGCGAGACTTGTTTTCACTAGTGCCAACTTTCACAGAGATACTAGCTAGATACGTGCCAATCTCACTCGGTTAGCTGCTCAACTACACCTCTCCAAGACCGATCTTCGCTCTTCGGTCGTGCCAGTGCCGGCCGTGTCACGGGTTCATACTTGCAGTCCGGTCGTGCGGAGCTGATCAATTCATTAATCATAATCAATAGGAGAGTTGCCGAAAACTAGCGCATCCCGGCCCCCGCGCCGCTCCTTCCCCGGGGCGACACGGGCGGCGGCCCCCGTCCCCCGCAGCCTCCCCCTCTCCCCGGCTCTCTCTTCCACGCCGTCGCCGGTGGCCTCCGGCAGGCAAAGCCTGTGCGGAGCCGGCGGCGGCGGGGCGCGCTCTCTGGCTGCTGTCGCTCGGGAGAAGGGGATCTCGCGGGCGATAGGCAGCTGTCCGGCGCTCGGCCTCGGGGCAGCGTCCTGGCGCGCGGCGGAGGTGGTCTTCGGCGCACGGCGAGGCGTTTGATCGTGGCGGTGGGCGCGTGGCCGCAGGCGCGGTCGCGGTCATTCGCGCTTGGGCGGTCCCGATCTAGGACCTCGCCGGCGGCGGCCGGCGCGGACGGGCGGCCGGCGTTCGGCTTGGCGGCGGCTGCGGCCAGAGGTTGGGGCGCCGGGGCGGCGGCCTCGGTCCGGGCTCCGGCCGTGACCTGGGAGTGGACGGCGCGCGTGGTTGGGCCGGCTCTCGGCTCTGGATGTGAGCGCGGGGCGCAGATCCTTGGCCGGGCGCGGTGGTGACTGCGCGCGGCGGGCGCGGTGGCTGGTGGGGCGCGACGGGCGTGGCATCTTCGGAGCTCGAGGTGTGCTGCGGTGCAGGGCCTGCTCGTCTACCATGCTGCTTCGCTGGAGCTGCTCCGATCTGGATCTGGCCTTGGTGGTTCTGTTCTTGCTGCTGCTCCTTGCGATGCGATGGTTGCTGCGGTGGTGGTGGTCACTATGGTGTTGCGGTGGTGGACGGCGGCTACGGCCAGGGGTGGTGCGTGCCTGGGCGCGGTGGATCGTGGGATCCCGTGGCTAGGGTGAGGTCAGCCTCAGCAGGGGTGGTGATTGGTGGGCGGCGGTCGGTGGGGGTGGTGCTCTCCGGGAGAAATTCTTGCTCCGGTCTTCATCGGAGCCGGCGACGGCGGCGCCCGCAGGTGTCGTGATCTTTCTTGGAAGCGTCGCCGTGGAGGTGCTCCTCCCCACGTCTTTGGCTCCGGAGGGAAACCTCAGATCCGCTGGATCAGGCGATGGAGGCGTCTTCGCGTCTTTCTCCTCATTGGGGGCATCGTCTCGGAGCCGGCTACGACCGAGAGACTAGTGGATTGCGGCATCTTCGCCGTGGATGGTGGCATCTTCGCCGCGTGGTTTGCTGAGGCGGGGCGCTGGTTTCTGGTTGGCAACGATGATGGCGTCGAGAGGAGCTCGGGTCGCGGCTTGGACTTCGGTAGTCGGTTCTTCCCGGCGTGTCCGAGGTGCTCTTCCGGTTTGCGGAGGGCACGGTCGGCGCAAGTCCTGCATATCTTCCTTGTGAGGCTCGCCGTCAAAGTCGGAGCTGTCGGTTGCTTGCGTGTGTGGCCATTTGGTGGCATGTGCCGTCGGGGTTGTGTCCCATGTCGGTGGCCAGGATGGCCGGTGATGCCCATGTCATGTGGGTTGGGTTGTATCGGTTTTAGCTCGGTCTTCCGTCAATTAACCGGTAATTCTCTTCTTTTTAATCAATGGAAATGGCAAATATTTTGCCTCGTTTCAAAAAATAATCAATGGGAGAATTGATAGGACGGTGCAATTCTCCTCCGCGAACGAGCACACGTGTATGCAATATGCATGCACGTACGTACGTAAGCTAAAGGTGCATGCATGAACATCTGGAGGAAGGCGACCCGGCCGGCCAGATCGACACGACGACCGTGTCGACCGACAAACATGCAGACGAAAATGGCGGCATGGATCTTAAGGGACGAGCACGTACGTACGTGGCCGTACGTGCGTGGAACCACTTGTCACGAACACACACACACGCGCGCGCGCGCGCACACTTAAACCTGACGTGACAAGTTCACGCGTGATCGATCAATCAGTCGTCCCAACGACAGTGCGTATGACGTTCATGGAAGATTCCGCGATCCATGTCGATCTGCAATGCATGCGTATGCATGTATGCCAGCTGCTGTGCTTGATTCAGGGCTAGCACAAGTAGATTATTTGCATAAGATAGTCTGGAAGGAAAGAACATGTACCTACACTCTGCTGGTACAGTACGTACACCTAGCTGGGGGCTGTGGGTCTACCGCACTTGTGATCGCGACGTCTTACTAGATCGATGCATGCTCTGATGCTCACAGCAACAGGCCAAAAGCGATCGATAACAAAAACAAAGTGTTGACTCGCTGTCGATCGGCATTTGACAATTCTGGTGTGCCGGTGAATATTCTACCCTTTTCTTCTACTGTTCTACTGTGTACCCCGCCAGGTGTTCTTAGTTTCTTATCCACAGAGTTTACATGGGATCGACAGCCTAGCTAGTCTTGACACTTCACAAGTACGAGTATGATTTCTTCCTAATACAACAGACCTTCGCATTCCCACCGAACCGAACTGTTTGATCCCGTCGAACTAATTGCCATCTACATTGAACCTATAACTACTGTCCAACCAAAAAGGCAAAATGGGAAGACACGGCCACACACGGACCATTTCTTTTAAACCTAAGTGCATAACTCAGTGTTTCGCCTAATCACCTAACAGATGCCAAGAGAACAACTCATGGTCTGGGGAACAGCCGGCAAATACATTGCTAGCTGTACATGCTTTTATCCTGAATGATGCTCACGGACAATGGTCGGTCAGACTGAAAGTGTTAACCACTCTGAAAAGTTCAGAACACAACAGCTTACCCCCTGTGGCGTGTAGCACAGTCGTCGGAACATAACACCACGGCAAACGAGAGCAGATCTTGCGCAAGCTTGAGGAAAGGGTTTTTCCGTCAAAAAGATACACACTTGGAAGGATTCTGCGGCAATAATTCTCCTCCTCCCAATTGTTTAAGTTCCTGCCTGGCAGCCTCCCGCGGCATTTCCGACGAGACCGCTATATAAAGAGATGCAATCTCCCAACTTAGCTCCCCGTGCTTGTTGCAGCCATATCTTGCGCTAGCTTCTCTTCTCTCTTCCCTCGGCGTGCACCGCCATTGCCCTAGACTTGATCTAATACGATCGATCGATACAGTAGTACTAGCTGACAGTCTTCTAGTCACAACTTGCAGTCGATGGAAGCACTATGGGTTGTTGCCTTGGCCATGGCCGTAGCATTCATCCTGTGGACGTACAGATGGAGCCACCCCAAGGCGAACGGCCGGCTGCCCCCGGGCTCCCTCGGCCTCCCTCTCCTCGGCGAGACCATGCAGTTCTTCGCTCCTAATCCTACCTGCGATGTCTCCCCCTTTGTCAAGGACAGGGTGAACAGGTAGGGCAATTAGCTAACCACGCAGAGCACTGTTATATTATGCACCACGGTACCAGCATCCAAACCCAATCAGTTCATGATCACATTGGACTACTGGAGTAAGTATGCATGAGACTGAGCTTGCTCTGACATTGATTGGGTGTGTGTGCATAGGTACGGTACCGTCTTCAAGACCAGCGTCGTCGGCCGGGCGATGGTGGTGTCGGCAGACCCGGACCTTAACCACTACGTGTTCCAGCAGGAGGGTAAGCTGTTCGAGAGCTGGTACCCGGCCACCTTCACCGAGATCTTTGGCCGCGACAACGTCGGCTCCCTGCACGGGTTCATGTACAAGTACCTCAAGACCCTCGTGCTCCGCCTGTACGGCCAGGAGAACCTCCGGGCGGTGCTCCTCGCCGACACGGACACTGCCTGCCGCGCCACCCTCGCCTCCTGGGCTAGCCAGCCGAGCGTCGAGCTCAAGGACGGCCTCTCCACCGTAAGACCATGCATGCTCTGTGCATGGAGTACCTGGTACTGCATGCGTTTAACATCATCAGATTAGAGACCATTGCTGATGTGCATCTCCTGTTTGTTACTTGTCCTAGATGATCTTCGACATAACCGCGAAGAAGCTGATCGGTTACGAGCCAACCAAGTCGTCCGAGAGCCTGAGGAAGAACTTCGTGGCCTTCATCCGGGGGCTTATCTCCTTCCCGGTGAACATCCCCGGCACAGCGTATCATGAGTGCATGAAGGTACGCACATGCGCATGCGAACAAAGCCACAAATGCTTCTTGACCGGCCTACGTAGTGCACAAAACTGCACATGCGTGTCAAGTCAAGATACGACCAGTCAAACGGCGGCTCTCATGGAGCCCACTCCGTTAAGCTTCTCTATTCTCTTCCTGGAACGCTTGACGGAGCTGCAATTGCATGTCTGTGCAGGGGAGAAGGAACGCCATGACTGTGCTCAAGAGGATGATGAGGGAGAGGATGGCGGACGAGGGGAGGCAGCCCGAGGACTTCCTCGACGTGATGATCGAGGAGCTGAGGAGGGAGAAGCCCGTCCTTACCGAGACCGTGGCCCTGGACCTCATGTTCGTGCTCCTCTTCGCGAGCTTCGAGACTACTGCCTTGGCCCTCACGCTAGGCATCAGGCTCATTACCGAGAACCCGAAGGTGCTCGAAGCGTTAACGGTTAGTACTTGTAGTATAAACTGCATGCGACTTTACGTCTATCGATCTCGATCGATGTTGTGTGCAGCGGCAAGAACTAGCTAGGCGAGCTACTTGTGCAAAATAACAATTGACGATATAATGCTCTTTGTGTGGTCAGGAGGAGCATGAGGCGATTGTTACGGACAGGAAGGACCTGGATGCCGGCCTCACGTGGGCAGAGTACAAGTCCATGACCTTCACCTCTCAGGTGAGCCTAACCGGGACTACCTACCTAGCTAAGCTATGATGCAAATTGCACGGTTAAGAAATTAATTGACTCGATGTAACAGTGACTAATGAATGGCAGTTAGGGCTGCACTAGTGGCAAAATATCTTCAAAAAACGATAGTGGCAAAGTTGATAACCCTGACAGACCAAATGCGATTGTGCAAGTAGCTTGCTTTGTGTTCCCTACCTGGGTGACCAAATGCATAGTCCACGAGAGAGAAGATATAACGTACTAGTTATCATCTTAATAACAAAAGTAAAAGAAACGAGATCTGAGGAAGAAATTAACGACACTAGACTACTTAGAACCTCTGAAGGACTGATGAAACTGACACCCCCACCTCTGTGCATCCTTTGTTCATGAAGGTCACGTTGGAGATAGCAAGGATAGCCAACATCGTGCCCGGGATTTTTCGTAAGGCCTTGCAAGACATTGAATTCAAAGGTACATTGAGTGAGTGGTGGATTCCATGCCATGTTTGAATAAAGACACTTTTTGGTTCATGGCGTGAGATTAAGAAATCTAATGCCTTTTGCATTCTCCTCCTTTGGGTGCAGGCTACACTATTCCAGCAGGGTGGGCAGTCATGGTGTGCCCTCCAGCAGTGCATCTAAATCCCGAAATTTATGAGGACCCATTGGCGTTTAACCCATGGAGGTGGCAGGTTTGTGCTCGTTCATCTTTATTTATGCAAACTGAAACCAGCTCATTTCATTTTGGAAGCGAACTCAACGTTGGGTTGCGGCGCACAAGCTGAATGTAACTTCCGGCATGGGCGGATGGCCCATCATCGACGGAGTGTCTCTGTGGGCAGCGAGTGGTAGCTTCAGGGTTTTGTTTGCTTGAACTTCCAAGGTTCCCAGTGCCATCCAAACAACTACAGCTATAAATCATACCATAAGTTTGTGGAGTCATACATCTAATCAAAATAAGCTACTCCGTATCATTTTTTTTATTAAAGGCAATAGCAACAGTCACTCAGTCAGGCCACTCAGTCAGTGACTCCATGCACTGCTTGAGTCTCTGAGTTTCTCCCAAGTTGTGACTTATTACCAACTTGGAACGTTAAATAGAGTTTAGTAACTTGGAAGGATATATTAGAAGAGGAAGCAAAAGTGCGCTTGGTGTAGTGGTTATCTAATTAGCCAGCAATAGGGTTGCCAGAGAACCGCACGAGACATCGGAAAAACGTACCAAAATCATATATAGTGTAGAATTTTTACTGTATTTGCATGGGATCATGACTAGCTAGTAATGTACTCTAAGCAGGTCTGGGTTCTACGACTCCAATTCGCAATTCATCAATGTGGCAAGTTGTGCTATTTCAATACCTGCTTATTTGTGAAGCAAATACAGAAGTCGAGTTTCTGTTAGTGTATACAGGGGATGAACCTGAAAGTTTGGTAAGAAGAAGCGCTCAGTCCTCTGTATTGTGCTACGTGATTAGTCCACTTGCGCGCGGTCAAATCAGCTTCTAGAGCAGCATACCGTCAAATGATACTTAACCCTCGCTGTTCTGTTGATAAGGAACAGGTAGGAATAAAGAAAAGGATGCGGCCATGCTAGTGTCTCACAGCGGTAGAAGCAAATGGAAGCTAGATTAATATATATATATATATATATATATATATATATATATATATATATATATATATATAGGCTTGCTAAAGTTAGCGGGAGCGCAAAAACTCTAATTGTGCGCTCCGACCGCTCCACGTGACGCACCGCTAATCCATCGGGCCTGCTAATCATCGTAAAACGGTTGGTACAAAACGTAATGGAATTAAATGAGTTACGGTAGCCAATAAACAACCCCACCCTTAATTACACTGAACGCAACAGCCCCTGGTCAGCCTTGTAAATTGATAGTAAATTTGAAAGGGAATATAGTAATGTGATTACTATCTTCCTTTTGATAGGTAATAGAAGTTGGCTCCTTCCTAGTCGTAACTCAATTACCATGCAATACGGGTAGGCATGGTAAATTGATAGTAAGTTAGAAATGGAGTATAGTAATGTGATTACTACCTACCTTTTGACAAGCAATAGTAATTGGCTCATGCCTAGTCGTAACTCAATTACCATGCAATACAATTTTCTGTTAAAAGAAAGTAACATCGTTCAATTATGGGTTGTAGCCCTGTACTCCATGATTCACGCATTGACAGCTAACAAATAATTGGTACGCAAACAATTTTCTAATAAAAGAAATTGCCTCGTTGCGAGCGCTAACACAATAGGTATATTCAATCAAAATACTCCTAAACTTCCCTTATTTTTAACTCCCATTTAGTCCCAGCTTGATTTTTACATTACCAGACGAATTACAACAGTCCTCACTACTCTTTTACTTCACCTAAAATATGCTTTCTGTTTCTTACTAGAATTAATGAGAGGGTTACTAAAATACTCTTTTACTTCAATTACTACACTCCTGCCCATAGTAGTTTTGCATTGTCAAGTTCTGATCTTTGACAAAAAATATGACAATCAATTGGACCGGCAGTTTTACTATAAGAGAAATTACTGGAATACACCATATATAGTAATTGTTTTATGATCACCTATAAGAATGGCAACCATGTTATTGTTTAGCAGGGAGTAGGAGTGGTGTGATAGTC